AGTGCCCCATTAACTAATTAAGCCGTAATTGATCAATTAATTGTTAATCTCTGTTTACTCTAATTGTTCTTATACTTTTCAGGTCATCTTCATGTGAGGTCTGGGGTTTTGAAAATACTTCTTGCTTTGAAAATGTTCATCTACGCTTTCTCAAATATTTAGTATCACTCAGGAAAGTCCACCTAACTGTATGGTATATGGCGAGTTTGGTAGATGCCCACATGTAAATGTTATTGAAAGCAGAATGGTATGTTTTGGGGCTAAACTTTTAACCGGAAAATCATCAAAATTATGCTTTTTAATATATAAATTAATATTCAACGATTATATATTTGGCAAGTGTGAACATAAATGATTTGTTGATGTGTAATAAACATTAAGTTTTGTCTGATATAACTTCTTTTGTCATTTTTATACCTTGATATCAAATATTACAACATGGGTATTGAAAAATTAAAAAATAATGTATGGCCATTTAGACTTTTTCTATGGCCATTTTGACTCTTTTTGTGGCCATTTTGACTTGGATGTATTGTGGCCAATTTGATGTGTGGCCATTTTGACTAGGACCCCATTTATTTCGTCCCATCAATATCTGTAGGTGGCGTCTTCCAAAAGTTGAGGGCACTAATGTATAGGGAGATTGTGTGAGAGGTAAACGGGACCGATGTGGTTATAATCGTCGCCAGGCGTCACAGTAATGTGACACGTCAAGAGATAATAAGAATCATTATATGTGGCAACATGTTTCCATTAGGGGCAAAAGGCAACATGGTGGCCAACGTTTTGTGAATGGACGACAGCAGGTGTTCACGAATGGGTAAATGGCCATTAATTCACACACACACATACACACACACACTTTGAAAATATCTGTATCCGACTATATATGATGTCATGTATATAGGTCTATAACAGTTATTGATTACCGATTTCCCAGCTTGTTTGGTGACTATCCGCATCGTGTGACGTCGAGGTTAAACTATTATACTCGTTGCTACCCAACCAGGCGCTCAGCATTACTGGGATAAAACAAGGACATGTCGACTCGGAGTACAATATGTTTACGTGGAGTATCCATGTTAAACTGTAAAACCTTCATAAGTCCGGTCTGGTGAAAGCGGCCGCACACAAATGTACATGCGCGTCGCTATTTACGTGCAATCCTCTTGAACACGTGACTTAAAGCTCCGTTTTATTCTCATATGGGGATGGGCACACCAAGGAGCATTCTCTTCCCACAGAGGTTACTTGTCATATCTTTCGTAGGAAGATATGACAAGTAACCTCTGTGGGAAGAGAATGACCAAGGAGCAGAATGCCCCTTTAAATTATTCCACACGCACGCACATACACACGCGCACACACGTGCAGTATACTTCGTGATGGATATGAGTTGCAGTGAAATATCTGGAGCGCTTGTGTTTGACAGAGGACCACGGTTGATGACGTTAAGGTATGGGAGCTGTGAAGAAGAGGTCTGCATTACATCACCGGGAGAAAATTAATGTAATACTAACACATATGTACCCTTCACGTGACTAGCATAGGGACTGCCACACGAAAAGGTGTTTGACAAGCGCCCCTTGAACTCTTCCTAAAAGGGAATGGCAGAGTCTGAAGAATCCGTTGTCTAACTGTCAGTCTATGAGCAGCCATTACGAGACAGTGAGTGAATGAATTTAGTTTTACGCCGCTTTTAGCTATATTCCAGCAATATCACGGCGGGGGACACCAGAAATGGGCTTCACACATTGCACACATGTGAGGGATCGTCCATTAAAATAAAAAATATAACTTGCTGGTTTAAACATGAACAGACATCCAACACAATAGCAAGAAGTGTCTCGGACACAGATCATGCCTAATCCCATTGCATGGATTGCATATAGCTTCATTGTTCCTTTCACAAGCTTGGTTCTCATGTTGTCAATGATAGCTGATGCTTTTTCATAATCCTGTTGTGAGTAAAAGTGATACTTTATTGACTTTCCTTTGCTGAAGCCCATTCATAAAAGTCCTTTCCGTCCTGGATGGCTGCTTTGCCCTGTTTTATGGCCTGAGCTGCCGTACGTTTCCAAGTACCACCGATGTCGTCACAAGGTTCTTGGTCGTGACCGGCTTCAAAGAAGTTCCATCTTGCTTTCATTCCAAACATTTCCAAATGTTTTGAAATGATTGTGAACATATACCGGTTTCGGTATTGTGAGGAGGGACCGTCTGTCCAATAGTGGATCATTTGAGAGATGCTGAACTTGCTTTTGATAAATGGCATCAACTTCTGTAATATTGCAAGAACAGCCGAAGGGTTGTGGTGATTTACATCTGACACAAAGGCAAGTTTTTAGTGCTCGACCATAAAAACCAGACACGTTACCACAAAAAACCCCAGATACGTTACCATTCTTTTCTCATTACTATAACTATGTCTAAGTATTTTCTGCACATTCAAAACGTAATTATTCTTTATTGATAGTGAAACCAGTTCGAATTATTAGAATGTTTACATTAAAGTTGAAATTTTTATTTCACCAGATACGTTACTGTGAAAAACCAAATACGTTACCTTCAAATTTGTAATAACCATCATATGTGTCGATGTGATTGAAATACATAATGTGTCGTATTACGTCATTCTAACTCAACCAAATACGTTACAATATTTACCAGATACGTGACCAATAAAACCAGATACGTTACCGTTAGATTCCCTTCAACCGACTGCTATACAAACATTGATAGTTTACTAACAAAATACATCAAATTACATTCAGACTTAACACAAATGTTCAAAAAAGGGGTTTTGTTGACCTTACTTATGATAAAATTTAACGATTTATTAAAATATATGTGATTTAAGTGGAAACATACCAAACGATGACAAGACTGTTTCCTCTGCTCTCATGACAGCCGGAAGTGGACTAGCAGACGATGTTATCATCCAATTAAAATGCTCCTGAGGTTAGGCAGGCGCAGTAGTTGCTTATTCAAACATGGTAACGTATCTGGTTGTAACGTATCTGGTTAACTTAATTTTATAATCCATTTCATTTCAACTATTCAGGACAGTCACGTAAAAGTTTGTGGTCTCAATTGAGCGAAGGTCTAAGGGGAGTAGCTCATGATGTCTCCTCACCTTGAACAGTCACTTGAAGGGACTTGTAATCGATTACTTGGTTACGTATCTGGTCAAAATCCAAAGTGACAAACGATGTTTCAAAAGATCTTAGCATGATTGTTACTTTCGTAATAAAGAGAAGTAATTGTGTCTTTGCGGACATGTAGATGTTTTGACCTACCAAGAGCTTCATAATTAACTGTCCTATTGCTGTTAAGAGGAAATGTATGAACGCTTGAAAGTGTGTAGAGTATCTGTTGACATATTTTAAGACGGGTTGGTGTACAAAACAAAATACAACACAAATCTGATGTTCAGGGTTACACAGAAATGTTTATTAGAATATTGTACCAAATTAGAGCATTTCGGAGAGTTGTAAATAGACAAACTGATCAGCAAAAGGTGTACGGACTGAAATACACACTGCCGAAGACAAACGACAAATCACATAACATTGCGTAGGATCAGCATACATTTCTTGTACTCCTCCTACGAAGGTGATTTGATATGTTTAATTATATCCACCTTTGTTGTAGTTCCAATGTAAAAACATGTTAAAAGATCGTTAAATATTCTTATAATTTTACAAAGGCGTCAGGTAATGTTAATGTGCAAGTTTAGTGTAGACTGAACCAGGAGTAGTAGGTCGGCTAGCAGTTGTTTAACGCCGCACCCAGCAATATTCCAGCTACATGGCAATCCAGTGATCTACACCATGAGCATCGACCTACAAAGTTGGGATACGATGACATGTGTCAACCAAGTCAGCGAGTCTGACCACCCGATTCCGTTAGTCGCATGGGTTTCTGAAGACCAATATCTTCACAGATCACGTGTAGTAGGACTAACTGTGATAGCATCAGTGAAAAGGTGTCATCCAGAAATATCCAACGGTGTTGATGCTCCACCCCACAACGGCCATGACTGGGCAACCCCCCAAACGATCGTTCTGTTTAACGTTAGCGCTATGAACGCGCTCTTTCCGTCTTCGCAAAACTCTGAACTTCAAATTGCGTCACCCAAGGACGTCCAAAGTAAACCTTGATTCATCCGAAAACAACGTTTGGCCAACGACGATTAGTTCACCGTTGCCGCTCTTGACACCAAAGAACTCGTGAATCGTGGGTTAATCGTCAGATGTAGCTGAGTTTAAAACAACATCAGAAAAACTTTAAGTCTGATTTTTTATCACTGAAATATACAGCAAGACACTAACACATTTCACTGCACATATCAACTTTTACCAAAAAAACATATTCACGTGCACATCATGAAAAACGCTTGGAGCATATTCACAACACGTACATGGAATAATCATTAACTAAATCCATATACATTTTACAACTTGGTTCCCAAATGATGTCACCCATAAATGTAACATGCCCTACTTATTTTCAATGGTATATTCCCAGGTAACACGAAACTGATATAACATACCAAAACATCTTTTTTATATTATTTGGCAAGCATGTTTTCACAGTGTTTTTTTTTTTCAAAAACGATGACAGCATTTCATTAAGTATATGTTCTTACAGAACATTTCAGCAGCATTTTTAAAACATTGCAATGACATGTTATGAAATAATTTCACCGTGTGTTGCAGATTGATAATCTTGAATAACATTTATTTTAAATTAAAAAACGCCTTGAATACTTGCGAAACATTTTTAAAACGCTACTAAAACGTTTTCCTCAGAATGTTGTTGTTTTGAAAAAAAAAAATTATGTATGAAACCTTTTGACCCATTTGAAAATGCTACGTGTTAGCGTGGGGCACAATCGTGTCCGTTTTGACAATATGCCTGATCCGTTTTGACAATATGCCTGATCCGTTTTTGACAAGGGGCGCTTTGACGAAACCTGTCGATTTTGGCGCTGCCAGTTTTGGCTTGTATCCTTGTAGTGGGTCGCAGTTGCCAAGCTGACTTGAACTGACTTCTGTTTTCTCATCATTTACCGGGGTATATATATTGTCAAGACTTGAGTGGCATAGTTTCCTGGTGTATTTTGACTTGAGAAGTACTCAGATATGTATGAAAGGTAATGCAGAAGAGTGGTCTTGACTTTAACAACTAGTTTGCAATTTACGCAAACGTGTACAAATCGCAAAATATTACAGCAAATCATTACAAGAATTATCTCCCTTAGGAGCTCGTTCATCCACGCTGACAACATGGCGGCTATCAACACACGAGCTATTACCCGAATTGGATGGATGTTGATGTTAACTGTGTGTTTCATCAGAGTACAAGGTGACGAAACGGTCGAGGAGGATGACCAGTACGCAGAATATATGGATTTGATGACAAGCTGCAAATTCCCAAAGTTTTCGAATGGATACCTTTTATCAGGGCCGTCGGCAAAACCGTTCTATGAAGTATGCAAAGACAGTCGTACGGACAGAGACCTATCACTGTTATGTCGAAATATGATCGATCTAACCCTGTATATGTGTAACCAAACTATCGTCAATCAAGACAAAAGGGACCAAATCGATAAGCAAATGACTGTTGAGTTCCTCAAGTATGACAAAGAGAAAGTACCTTTTTGTACAAGACGTGACGGAAACAAAAACGCTTCCGAACTCTTAAGTTCCTTCCTGCCGCCAGATGTCAAGTGTGAAGTGTCATGTAAAAAGGATACTTCAGAAAAGCTGTGTGAATTCATCTACGTTTCAATAATTGCTTATGGTAAGTAAAATAACACGATTTGAGTGGCACAAATTAGAACATATTAAATATTATCCTCTTATCCTGGTTTTTCCGAAGCTTAATAACAATTGTAGTTTTCTTGCTAATGTTTGAACAACTGTAAACCAAGTTCTAACCTATTAAAGGCAACTGAATCTAAAACCCAAGTATAAACAATGCGTTGCACAAAACACCTCGTTAGAGCGAGATTAAATAGTGAATCAGAAAGCTTATGAAGTTCAAAAACATATAATCTGACGATACTAAATAACAATTGACACGTTAATGCTCCTGGTCCCATGGGAACATATCCTCCCTCTCTTGTTTTTGCCATCCTTTAAGTGCGATGAGATTTACATTCGCCCTTAACATGTTGACTACCTACCACAAATATACTTGTGTTATCAAATGTAACAGAATTTGCTACTATGAGTTATCTCGTAGCTACATCGGAGGTATTTAAAACAAACTTCACATGTTGGCAAAATAGCCACCAGTAGCAATCGTCTCCTGGTGGTAACAAACTCTTTTCATCTGTCAATGTGGTGATTTTCGGCCCTGTGCCTACAGGTCAGGTCATGAATCAGTTGAAGTTATAGTCCGTTTACCTCAAAAGCGGACTGATGAATTGCAATCTAACCCAAAAACTAATAAACATATAATAATCAATGAAACACTGATAATAATCAAAACACCAGACCAACTTTTGCAGAAATATGTCGTAAAAATAAATAAGTTGTTTAACAAACTAGCATTCAAATATTGACACAGTTCACTGTTTGTTATGAAGGAGGAGTGCAGAGAAAGGGACTGCAAGGTGTGTGAGAAAGGATGGAGACGGCACAGGTCAATTAATCAATAACTTTGGGGGCACTTGTGCACGTGCTGCACATGTTCCTCTCTTTGCATTCCTTCCTCGTAACAAATAATGAAGGTATCCAGGTTGTTATTGCAGATAAATATAACATGATGCAACTTGCTACTTGAAAGTGATGACTAATATATCATGAACATAAACGTCCTGGAGTCATATCTAGTCATGACTTTCAGTTAGTGAAATGAATTTTCTAAGAATTAAACAGGTTTTCATGCACTGACAACTTCAAAGATTTGTTCTATCGTCAAGTGTTTCAAAGACCGAAACAGTAGTTCCAAAACGTTTGTCTTCGATTATGAGAAAATGTGATGGATTGCTTGGTCGTTTGGTTACCGCGACCAATCTTCTATTATTTCAATTTAATCGGAACACCACTAGTGCTTACTTGACTTTACCTGCCATTTTCAGGTGCTCAAATATTACAAATTATGAAGAAAATAAACGAAATTGGAATCCACACATTTACCGATGGCTAGGCAGTGCATGTACATTAGATTTACTAAAATAAGATATTGTTAGAAAGACAACCAATTCAAGTTGAATGTTGTACATGTATGATCAGGGGTTTTAAACTTTTTTAAAAGTCACTTTCCTCAGGGCAATTGACTTTAAGAAAGTAACTCATGCAGTTGATCCCTGGATCATATAGCTGGAATATTGCTGAGCGCAGCAAAAAACTAAACTCACTCACTCATCACAGTGCAGCACTGAAACATATACAGCTGATGGCAAGGTGCCTTGAGATTTAAGATAAGTGAGAACTGCATAGTATGGGAGAATCAAAGCCTTTATCATTATGTCTATAGAGAATATGTTTGACCCTTTTTCTATTCTTGGATCAAAGTGCCTGGCGGTGATTTTATTAGTAAAATACCCTATTCAAATATCTAAGGATTGATGCACCATCCAAAATCAATGCATTGAAGCTGTATCAAATATTTTTTTTCATGAGATGTATATTGTTCATACTTATCATGCTAATTGCATAAAGAAATTACTGTATGCACTTTGTATCATACCCTATATCGGCTATTGAATCACAATGCATCAGAGTATAATATCGAGATGGCTATTAATATAGATCATAAATCGGTAAATATCTGAGACGTACCTTTGAACAAAAATGACCAAAAAGTGTGAAAGAGATCAATATATTTCACAGCAGTTCTGCACTAGTGAGTGGTAACTCGTTCTGCATGGATTACTAACAAAAGAGCATTCTGAACTTAATTTAGAAAAAGCAGAACATGAATAAAAAGCTTACTTTGTGTAGTGAGTGAGAAAATAAAAACTTTTCTGTCACGATATGTACGGTATTATTGATAACACAAATTTCATATTGATAATCATTAATAATTTCTATACATATACGCAATTTTACACGTATATGGAAATGTATACAACTCAACATTTAGTAAACAATGTACAGTGTCTGTTGTATATCAGCTATGTAATGAATATGATTCTCTGAAACTGTGCAGAATTCTTACATTATGAAATGTAATATGTATATTTTTCCTTATCCTGACGCGTGCTCTTTTGCTTGTCTTCTTCTTCTTGCGAACATAGTGGAACACTTGTATCTCCCTAATTGAAGCTCCCTTCAATGTAAAATCACTAATTAGTACTCACCAAGAGTTGCTCCCCTTCCCGATTGCGCGGGAAAGACGGCGCCACCTCTTCCCACATGCTTCACTCTCTCCTTCTTCGCCCAGTGAGCAAGATGTGAGAGCGCCTGTCTCCCTACGGCACTATATCCTTTGATTATTTTTATTTAATTACCTCTACAAATCCCTTATAGAGGTTTACCTAGTATCCTTCAACATTATGTTTTGATAATTATTATTATTATTTACTGCTGTTTATGCACGGGACGCCGTGATTGTTCAGTAGTTTACGTTGATGAAAATCTTTACTGTTTGCAGGTTGCGTTTTTCTGCTGCTGATCTGCATTTAATATGCCCTAGCTGTACTGTATCATGTTCATTTATTTCACGTTGCAGTTGCTGTAATAAATTATCTAATTCTGGTTCTAACAAATATTTACTTTGCGTTTATAGACGCGCAGCAGATAGGTCACGTAAGCTATATCCAGGCATGGATATGCGTCTGAATCCCTCTCAAGTCAACTGCTGTCGGATGATCCCCTCCCGTCTGGTGTTCAGCTGGAGTTCTCTTGGAGGAGAGGCGTGGGATGCAGTCCACCGTCTCCAAGTAGCGACCTGCATCACCAGACATCCCGTCGTCGCAGTCTAGACTAAGAGGGCATCTACATTTCAGCGCAGAATCCGTACCCCCAGGGCAGCGTCTACCACCAAGGGGAAGCCAGCGCAGGCCACACGAACTTTCTCAGCCGAGATTGTTCCCGTCGCAGAACAGGGCCTGTATGATGAGCAGCCGCTCATCATTCCCGAGGTTCATCACAAGAGACGACTGGTATCAGCTACAGTGATGTCAGCGCAGATCCACAATCAGCCCGATGTATCAACGCTGATGACTGATGATCTTCCCATGGGTCCCGTCACCACCAACGCAGATAGGGCAGCGTCTACAACTTCGCAGACGATGTATAGACACCATCCTCTACCCAGAGAAAGCTACACACCCCTTAGATGACGACAACTCTATGGGGACGTCTGCGCAGACTACAAGAACTTTCTCTGCCGAGATTGTTCCGTTGACGGTACAGGGACTCTGCGATGATCAACCAATCATCTTCCCGAGATTCATCACAAGTAATGACCAGTCACCCGGTGACTTCAGCGCGAGATCTCCACGGTACCCGAGGTATCTACGATGACAACAGATAAGCGCCTGTGGACCGCGCCGCTATCAGCGCAGAAAGGGCAGCGCTACTACCACCGCAGACCTTCAAACCGGGGGACGTTATGCAGAAGATGATCAACGTTACGGCCTGGAGAAGAAGTCACAGCCCACAACGAGGTCCCGAGCCTTCGCGAAGGTTCCAACGCAGACGTCGTCTCTGAGGGACCCTTCATCAAGGTGACATCTGGCAGCAGATCTACACTACAGACCAGCCTTCGCGAAGGTCGACTCAACCATCCCCTGCAGCGGACACGGACGATCAGCATTTGCGATGGCGTTCGCGAAGGAGGAATCGCCATCCCTGGATACAGAATCGGACCACCAGCGTTCGCGAAGGACCAGTCGACATCCCCCAGATGCGGAATCAGCGTTCGCGAAGGCATTTTGGAAGAAGAAAGAATCAGACGACCAGCTTTCTGCGAAGGCGTTCGCGAAGGACCAGTTGCCATCCCCCAGATGCGGAATCAGCTTTCGCGAAGGGATTCGAGAAGGAGAATTCTTCCATCCCCGGATACAGAATCAGACGACCAGCGTTCGCGAAGGCGTTCGCAAAGGACCAGTCGCCACTCCCCAAGTACGGACTCAGATGAGCCTTCGCGAACAGAACGTTACTTATAGTCTACAAGTTACGCGAAGGACGGCGCTATCTTCAGAGACTGTCAACAGATGAAGAGCCTAATAAAGGATCTTCAGGCCGACTACCTACATCAAGGACATCAACGACACTTCACAGATCATCACGGGAATCACCATTTCCGTATATATTGCCAGATAGGCAATTCCGGACTACGAAACGATTATCTACATGCAAGGTGCCATACAGTCACACCAAGTTGACCACTACGCAGATCACTACGCAGATCGTCAAGGTTATACAACTAGGACATAAAGTAGCATCATCCTAGAAGGAAAAAATCTTCATCGGTACACAGACGGAAGATAGGTAATACAGTACAAGAGAGATACTCTTGTCAGAATTCATCACTAGCACGGACCATCAGACGGAATCCAGGACGGGATTCACATAGATTGATATATCTACATTAGAAGATTCATGGCCTTATAGAGATCTTCACCTTCGGACAGATCTGCAGACAATTTCAATGGCGGAATTGAACAGCAGCCTTGCTACAGCGAGAAAAATACATAATCGTCAATGATTCCCTGAGAAAAAATTTACAAGTTCAGCATTAATTCTACAATTACGACGCTTCATTGATGTATGCAGTCTACAATCTGACAACGTAAAAGTTTAATTGAGCCTATATATAAGGACGACGGCATTATCTTCAAGACT